GTTCAGAAAGACCAACAGGGCTTCTGCAGGAAGTCCTGGTACCAAAGAGAAGCCGATGTTGGCTTTGCCCTTCCCACCAAGCCCTGAGCTCCTATCAAGACCCCAGAAACCCTGGAGTCAGCAGAGGTCAGACAACAAGGGACAGTTTGCTGAGACCTCCTCCAAAGACTTTTGGGAGGCCACAGAGCGAGGCAGCAGATCTGATGTCATTTAGGCCGGGTCCGAGAGGCAACTCCTGAGTCAGGCGCTGGGTGTGCAGGTGGCTTTTTGGAAGGTAAAGGAGCCAAAAACTCAGCGGGGGCTGCACACATATCTCTCCTTCTGCCCTTTTAGCCCAGAGCCCAGGCAGTCATTATTGGCATATTTCAGCTTTGCTTGTCTCCAGGTATCATAGGCCTGAACCCTGGGAGAAATTCTAGCATCAACTAGTATTTGGAGGCTGTGTGTGAGTGTGTGTGCGTGTATGTATGAGTGTGTGTGTGTGTGTGTGTAAAATGCCTTCTTGGTATATTTCAGCATCCACAGAGCCTGACAGGTTTCCACCTAAGCCAAATCTTGGTTTTGCTTTGTAGGGCTATGGGACTTCAGCCTGGAGGACAGCAGAGGCAAATGTCATCCAAGCGGTCTCCACTTTTCTTCCCTCCAATGGGTGGGAAGTACCCCAGCTGGCATACTGGTCTGCAGACTGGCCTGCTAGTCTGTAATGCACTGTCTAAGGAACAACTCATTCATTGGGGGTGCTAGAATGAATTTGTTTCAAACCACCCAGAGGTGGTGAGGCATGGTGGACACACCTGTCACCCTAGCGCTTGCCGATTCAAGGTTGTAAGGAGCCTCAGAGTCAGCTCAGGACACCTAAGACCAAGTTCTCAGCACAAAGAGATGCGTTTGCTCCTGAGGGACAGAGGGCAGGGGTAAGGACAAAGACAGGAGACAGAGAATCAGGGAGAAGGGGAGGGAACAAAGGAGAGGGGAGAGAAAGGAAAAGGGAGAGATAACAGGGGTATTTGTCTCAGAGGACAAAGGATAGGATTGTCTTTGGATAGAGAGGAGACAGCAGTGGCCCCTAGGAAAATGACAGTTTATAAAGGTATATGGGGGAAACTGTGTTAGGATGAGGCATTTAATTTTGATTGGGCATGTTAATTAAGTGAACCAAAGGGAACTTTTGATTGCTGGACTTTAATACCTCGATAAGCTGGACCTTAGTTGGTCAGCCTTAGAAGAAAGATGTGGCCAAATAAGGGAGTAGACCTTGGGGGCTAGCTTTAGGGATGTAATCTAATGGTTTTTTAGTAAGGCGGAGGGAAAGTGGGAGAAGAGCAAGACCCTTCACCTGCAAAGTCATGATTGCCATGCTCTGGCTGGCTGGAGTCCTGAAGTTCAGTCCATTATCATCATGGTGGGAACCATAGCAGCATCCAGGCAGGCATGGCGCTGGAGGAGCTGAGAGTTCTACATCTTGTTCCAAAGACAAACAGAAGACTGACTTCCTGGTGTCTAGGAGGAGGGTCTCAAAACCCACCCCCACAGTGACTTCCTCCAACAAGGCCACACTCTTGTGCCACCCCCTGGGCCAACCATAGTCGAACCACCACAAGTCCCTTCAAAGGATCAGGGGTTCAAGGTTATCCCCAGCTACACTGGGCGTATGATGAAAGTCTGGGCTACATGACATTCTGTTTCAAAACAGCAACAGCATCACCAACACCTCCCAATGATGCCCTGAGACCCAAGGAAATCCCTGCTTGATAGAGAGATCTCTTGATCCTCAACACAAACCATCCCGTACCCTGGCTTGTCGAAAATATCACATTACCCAATACCCTGGGCCTTTGCACTTACTGTTCTCGAGCAGCCTGGAATGCCTTTCTCTGACCTCCTCCTGTCCTTCTCTTTTGGCCTCAGGCCTCCTCTGATCCCAGTAAGCCTTCCTGGAGCCCAGCACCTCTGGGTGGGCTCCTCCTATCCTCTGCATGCCTCCCCATCCAGTGCGTTTCTCTGCTTTGTTCATCTGTTCCCCGTGCCACACACTCTTGTTGAGATGGCTCACTCTTCCAGGAAGCCCTTGGGCTGGCTTGGTGTGCACAGATCTGGCGCCTGCTTCTATTCTGGGCCAAAGGATTAACGACTGAGCTCCTAACACCCGTTTCTCTTGAGCCCAGTTTGGCAAGACACTGTCAAAGGTTTTTTGTTGTTTGTTTTTGTTTTGTTTGGTTTTGGTTTTGGTTTTTTTGTTTTTGTTTTACTTTACTATCTGTGCTGTTTGTTGTTGTTGTTGTTTTGTCAACTTGACACAAGCTAAAGTCGTCTGGGAGGGAACCTCCACTGAGAAATCATTCCCACTGGGTTGGCCTGTAGGCAAGCCTGTGGATCATTTGCTGGTTAATGGTTGATATGGATGGGTCTATGCCATGGGCACCCTGGGCAGGTGGGCCCGAGTTGTATAAGAAATCCAGCTAAGCCAGCCATGAAGAACAAGCCAAGAAACAGTGTTTATCCATGGTCTCTGCTTCTGTCCCTGCCTCCAGGTTCTTATCCCTGAGTCCCTGCCCTGACTTCCTTCAGTGATGGAATAGAATTGGAAGTGTAAAATGACATAAATCCATTTTTTCCCAGGTTGCTTTTGGTCGAGGTGTTTATCAGAGCAGTAGGATTGTGACACAGTCCCTGGCTTACATTTGTGGACTTGACCACAGTTAGGGCTCATAGCACATGGTGGAATTGGGAATTGAACTGAGGACAACAGAACATAGACAGCCTGGCTGGTAATTATGCTATAAGAGAGGGCAGCTCAGGCCAGCCAGGGTGACACAGCAAGACTGTCTCATGAGGTGGGGGTGGAGGGCAACAATGCTGTACAGTCCTATGGCTGCTATGATGAATGACCAAACATGGATGGCTTAGAGCAGCCGGGGCGTGGCGGAACGTGGAGGCATATACCTACAAGCCCAGCTCTCAGGGAGCAGAGGAAAGAGGCTCCTCCTTCAAAGCAAATGTGGGCTGCATGGTGAGATGTGTCCAAAGGGGGGACGGTCCCTGGCTTGCTTACATCTGCAGAAGCCATTTTTCATTTTGTTCTGATTTGTTTGGACATACTCTCCTGCAGATCATGCTCAGATCTGACCATGAACTTCTGACCTCCTGATGCCACCTCCGGAGCGAGTGTTAGGGATCAAACCCAGTATTTCCTACATACTACCCACCAGACAAGACCCATTCAAATGCAGTCTCATCTCCAGGTGCAGGTTGGGAGGAGACTATGCAGCAGTGGTAGTTGGGAATGGGGTTGGGCAGTCAGCAGCCTCTCCCTCCCGGTGGGCTCCTTCACTGGGGAGAGAGGCTGGAGAGAGCAGACACAGGATGTCCCAATCTCACACGCAGAAGGAAGCTGCTCATAGCTCCCTCAGCAGCCTCAGCACACAACTCAAGGAAGACAACTGGGCCTGACACCCCAGCCCCCAGTACCACTGGCTGCCAGTTGACTGTGTGGCCCTTGCTAGCCTGGGAGTCCTGGCACATGGGACCCTTGGCTTGGTCTGAAGGAAGCCCCACTGAGCCAGGCTCCAGGCAGAGGCAGACACAATCTACACTGGTCTGTCGGATTCTGGAAACACCACCAGCCCTACTTGCTCTAAAAACAAAGAGTAGATTTTCTGTTCATGACTGCACACAACCCTAAGGCTGAGCCAGAAAGTGGAGTTCTCCACGGGTACCCCCGCCCCACCCCCCACACATCGAAAGGACAAATGCCTAGGATTCCACAGGCCTGCCCACTCTAAGCCCCTAGTGACAAAAGCAAAGGCCACTCTAAGGGCTGGTAGAAGGGCTCCTCTGAGTGGCTGGAAGCTCCTCAGGCTGCCATCATATGAACCCTCTGCAGCCCCTGCCATAGAACAGAGGAAGAAGACCGTTTCCCTACCCCACATCTCCACACATGAGGACACATGGACACAGGAGCCAGGCTTAAGCTGCCCCATGCACACATCACTGCGGGATGCTTTGGGTCATGTTCCCAGAGGGAAGACACAGGGCACCCAAGGCTTCTGCACAGGAAGGCAGCAAGTTAGCTCAAACCTGCACTCTGCAGCCTTAGGCCAATGACTCAACCTCTCTGTGCCTCAGGTTCTTCAGTCTGCCAGGAAGATGGCAGCAGGCCAGTGGTACAAATAAATTATCAAAGAGATCAAAAAGGGGGAAGCAAAGAGTTTGTTAACACATCACCAGCACAGCTACCTGTGGCTCCAAGAGGAGGGACCTTGAGGCTGCTGTGTGCAAATCTTTTGTAGCAGTTGAAGGAGGTTACTTAGTCTCATAGGTCATTCCTAAGGGGTCAGGCTGAATTTTGTCTTGTTAGGAAGTAATGTTACAACACCAGTGGTCTCTCAAGTGAGACTGGTCACTTGGGTGAGGCTCATGGGTCACCAGGAGGTGGGCTCTACTTTTGTATGTGCTTGGACTTGGCTGCAGGCAGTCAGCGGCTGACAGTTACAAGACGAGGTTCTCTGTCTTGGGCACCATGTGAAGTTGATTGGAAAGCAGTTGGCTGACCCACAGGGAACGCTGGCATCTGCCATGAACAGTGGTGCGAACACCAGGCATGTGTGAGGCTTCATGCCAACAGGCCCGTGTATGGATTCCATAAAGGCTCATATGCCAGGCTGGAGAGTTAGCTCGGCAGGTACGAGCACCTACTGCTCTCACAGAGGACCTGAGCTTGGATCCCACAGCTGCCTATAACTCAAGTTCCACGGGATCCAATGCTCTCTTCTGGCTTCCAGGAGTAACTGCACTCATGTGTACACAGACACTCACGTAATTTAAAAGAAAAAGGCTGGCTCTTGGAGCTGTGTGTGGTGACACATGCCTGTCATCCCCGCTCTCAGATGGGGGCGAGGGATTGGAGGTCGAGATCCTCCTCTGCATAGTGAGTTCTGGGGTCAGCATAAGATATTGTCTCAAAAAATATTAAAAAAAGAGCGCTTAGGAAATTGTTTGCCTCCCTCTTGGCAACAGAGAGAGACACTTTGTTATTGGTGTCCTTATGGCAGTCAGGGGCAGAGCAGATGGCAGTCCTTTGTTCATCCTAGCTTGATGCCTGGCTTGGTGGCTACAGCTGTCTTATGCCTAGGACTCATAAAAGTCAAATCAAGCACCCACTCAGAGGAGAAGGGAAGGGAGGATGGAGTGAAGAACTTTGGGAGGGGCAGCATTAGGAATGTAAATACATAAAATAATTAATTTTAAAAAGTGAAATCCAATCCAATCCAGGCAGTGCAGTGAGAGAGGAGGAAGACAGAGACCTGCATTCAGCCATGGCATGCTGTGCTGTGTGGAGGGAAAAGATGCCCACATACCTTCCCTCCCATGCACAGCACAGTGGGGGGGGGCATATACACCCACCCACTTGCCGCCACACCATGCAGTACGTAGGGCTGACCAAGGATGTCACCCAGGGGCCCGCCAGTCATGTGGCTATCCTGTGGAGGGAGCCACCACAATGTGTGAACATGTGGTGGTCAGAGGGGAGAGAAGTGGAGCAACCTGGGCATTATGAAGAGAGATGGGACTGAAGAGCAGGGTGGAGAGCAGGAGCCTGGTGTGAGTGGTCAGACTCGCCACCTGGGGGTCATGGTGAGGTCCCAGCCCAAGCTGCCACTCAGGGCCAGACATAGCTAGCTACACAGCAGCAATAGTCAGTGGTCATATAACTACTAGAGAACATGAGGACCTACGTCCCTGGTCGGGACAGCTGCCAGGAACTACATGGATATTCAGAGTCTATGCAGAATGGGCCTGCCCCTCACTGGATGTGGCACTCTGGAGAGCTATCCTCACCTCTCACCAGAGGCAGCACTCTGGAGAGCAGGCTCTGTACCTTGCCCAGGCAGCACAGTAGGGTTGACCCCAGTTGGGGATGGGGTGTGGGCGAGCCAGCCCTGAGGACAAGAGCAAGGGAGAGCTGGTCCCTACACAAAAGTGTCTGCAGTGTGGTGCCATGGGTGTGGGATGATGCCCTCTCCTCCCTCCCACTGATCCCCTGAGGTAGTCAGGAGAGCAGGAGAGTGGGTCCTGCACCTTGCCTGAACAACACAGTGGAGCTGGCCCTGATAGCAAAGGTACAGTGAGCCAGCCCAGAGGGTGTGAGAGCTGGAGAGCCAATCCTGCCCTCTCAGGGCGACTGGGAGAGTGGCCTTGATCTTGACTGGGCAGCAAAGTGGAGCTGGCTCTGGATGAGCCAACCCTGGCCCCGAAGGCCATGAGAGCAGGAGAGCTGGTCCTGCCTCCTGCCAATGGTGGCACTGGGTGGCCAAGCCAGAGCAGTGCTGGAGAACCTCCAGCTCAGCTACCACCCAGACCCAGATCCAGGGCTCTGAGCTGGCCCACCCAAAAATCTATATTAGCCAACAGTTGGGATATGTGAAAGGGCCAGTCTTCCTGATTCAAAGCTGCAGCAGGATCTCCATGACACAACAACAACAGAATAACCAGGAGGAGTCCCAGTGAGGACCCAGTGTTGATGATGTCACAGAAGCCAGAGACCTGGAGCCAGACCAATGCCTCACTGCAATAAACATTCGCAAGTGAAGATGTGTGGACAGAGGGATATACTGTGGGACACACTGTGACACACTACAGCATCCACGATGAGATGTTTTCTATGCGTGTGTGTGTGTGTGTGTGTGTGTGTCTCAGATGACAACTTGCAGGAGGTTTTTTTTTTTTTCCCTATCATGTGGAATCTGGGACTCAAACTCAGGTTGTCATGCTTGACAGCAAGCTCCTTTACCCAGAGAGCTATCCCGATGGCCCCTGGAGATTTCTTATGAGAGGAATAAAAGGATATGTAGAATTCTGTGTCGGCCATCCTCCTCTTGGAGCAATGCAGTAGCATGTGACAGTATTTCCTCCTTTTATGGGTGAGTAATATTCCACTGTGTGCATATACCATGTTTTGTTTATCTACCGTTCCGTGGTTAAGTGCTCCATTTTCTTTTTTGACTCCTGTTGAATGACAGCTTCCTACATGTAGGCTGGACATGTTGGCATCCTACATGGCCCACAGAGCAAGTAAGACTGTCTCATGTTAGAGTCAGGATGGACCAACACGAAGCCCTGGGTCTGGGCCTGAGGCAGCTGATTAGTCTGTCTGCTCTCCTCTCCCACTTCTGTGCAGACGGACAATATAATTTACGATTTCCCAAGGAGCACGAACAGCAGCTGCTTCTGCACCCCTTTCCATCTGACTTCACAGTGCTCAGTTTCTCTTCAGCTTCTGTCTCTCCACTGTCTATTTGCTTGCTTCTTTCTCTCCTGTCTCTGTACCAGCTACATAACTCACTTCCTGTCACACTCGGGCCCTGGGGACGGGGGCCGACCTGGTTGTGGTCCAGGTGTCCTCCACTATTTCATTACATTGGTTCCCACTGAGCCTGGAGCTCACAGAAAGCCCAGTGATCCTCCTGTCTCTGCCTTCCTGGCACAGGACCACAGACGTATGCTATTGCACACGACTTTTCCCACAGATGTTGAGGGGATCTGAAGCAGAGGCATGGAGGAACACTGCTTCCTAGCTTGCTCCTCATAACTCAGCCTTCTTTTTTATACAATGCAGGATCTCCTGTTCAGGGTAACATCATGACCAATCATTATTCAGAAAAATGTTCCCACAGGCTTGCCTACAGGCAATCTGATAAAGGCATATTCTCAACTGTGGATCGGTCCTCCTAGATGACTCTAGATTTTTCAAAACCTACTTTAATAAGAGTTCTTAAATACTTTAACCACCCTTCTAGCCCACCACCCACCAGAAGTAGGGGAAAGGAGAAGTTAACAGGGCAAAGGAGGAATAGCACAAGAAGCTCTTTGGTGTGTTTCTCTCTACAAAGTCAGTGAAGAAGGCAAGGCAAACCAATACCACCAATGCCATAGAGTGGTGAGCAAAGACCAACAAAGCCCAGCAAAGACTGGCAAGGTGAACCAATGCCACACAGCACTGTCTGTCGGGTTATATTTATATCTATCCTTTCCAAACAACACGTGTCCTCTCAAACATTCACCCTTGCAAAACATCACATGACCTTTTTCCAGGCAGTTTCCTGACAAACACCACGTGTGTGTCAGCAAAACATCCTCCCACATGTCTGCTTCAGTGAAACATCTTCTCATAAGACAGTTCTGAAAAAAAAATCACAACATTACTGAGTCTCCCAAGAAACCAGAAATTTCTGCTTCACTAGCTTGTGTCATGTCACCAAAAATCTAAGCAGCACCCACCTGCTTAGTTTTCTTGTCCAGCTCTGGCAAGTATTAACACTGAAAATCATACCAGAAAAACTGGTCACCACTTGTCTCCACAGTTTGCCATTTTATGCCAACTCCCCCAGCACTTGGCTCTCCAGATCTCTACAGATGGCTTCAACCTGTCAATCATCTAGAGGGCCACACTCCATCTTTAACCATTTCTCTTTCTGTCCACATTCTCCAGGGCTAATGGTTCCCAAACAATGCCTGCTTTCTTAATTAGATGAGTGCTGAGGTGTGGACTGTTGCTATGCGTTGTAATGCTAAATGTGGATCCCCAAGACACAAGTGTAGTCACATGATCTAAGCATGTAGACGTTAAGTGATGCTATGTGACCCTGCCCCCAAGTCATTTCTGATTGGTAAATAAAGGTGCTTACAGCCTGTAGCTGGGCAGAATTGAGACAGGCGGGGCTTGGGATTCCCAGCCTGGAGGTCAGAGGAGACCACAAGAGGAAAAAGAAGGTGAAGGAAGAGGAGGAAGGCTCCACGGGTTAGGAATCAAGAAAGCATAGCCCTGAGGGCTGGCCGGTTGAAGTTAAGAACAGCTCAGATAAACATAATAAGTAATAACTCAGGGTTACCAATAGGAAAGTAGATTTTAATAGCATAGAGGGTAGATATCTGCCCAGCTCTAGTGCTGATTAATGCTTATTGCATATATAAAGGTTGTGTGTGTGTTTTATCCAGGAACTAAATGGTCAAAGGCAGGGTAGAAATCCTGGATTGGAAATTAAAATTTTCTGCAACAGGTAAGACATGTGAGGAGGCCGAGGCGCTCGTTGGCCAGATGTGCCCTGCTTCCTGTCTTTTATTCCCAGCTGTGATTCCCAACAGCTCTTACTGGGCCTTGAGGAAGTAGCTTGCTGAGATGTACCCTTCACAAGTCAGCCACCCTGTATCCTCCCTCAGTGCTTTAGATGAACTTCCTAATAGTCTTAGGTTCACAGTCAAGTTGGAAGGAAGCAGAGTTAACACATTTTCCCTGCAACGTTCCCTATCATCACTGCCTTCTACAACATCATCAACGCTAGGATGCAGGAACTGTATCCCAAGGAGTGCTGGGCCTGCATGGTAGGGCCTCTGCAGGAGATGCTGGCTGGCTCTTAGAAGCAGAGTCCCTCTGGCTAGTCCCTCTGGCTAGCCCCTCTCCCTTCTGCTTCCCTTCCTCTACCAAGGCAGGAAGCAGAACTCAACCCTCATCCCCAACCCTCACCCCAAGGCAATGTAGAACCTGAGGTAATCTCTTTAAACCAGTAGCAGCCAGCTATGAGGCACTCTTCCATCTTCCTTGTCTGGTTCTAACTGATATGACCGTTATTCCACAGGGATCCCTCACCATCTCCTGGAGGAAGGAATCCACACGGAGAGGCCAGAAACATCTGATCAGACAGGCTTGCTGCATTCCTCAGTAAGCCTGTGGTCCTCTCAGGCTCTGTAGTTCTCTATGTCATCAGAATATCTGTATTGGTGTTTGTGGCTAGAGGGGGTAATGGATGGCAACTCCACTATAGAGGCAGTTCTGATGCTAAGGTCCTGTTCCCCAATTGATTCGTGATCCATCAGTAAAGAAAGCCTTGGGCCAATTGCTGGGTGGAAGGTACAGGCAGAACTTCCGGGTCTCTGGGGGAAAGGGAGGATGCAAGGAAGGAGAGGAGGAGTTTGTCATGCCTTGGAGAGAGGAGAACTAGTCAACCATGTGAGGTCTCAGGAGGAGCTGTGGGCTGTGGCCGCTCCTCTAGGCAAGTGGCCAGAGATGTCTATCAGGGACTAGATTCAACTGACGAACTAAGGGTAGGGCAGGTGGGAGGAGTGGTAGACCTAAGAGTAATGATA